TAGCTCAATTGCTAAGATAGCAGACACGTTATTGGTTGCTGAAATGTATGGAGATGTGTTGAAATGCATTCTGATGAGAGCATATTGCTCTGGATTGTCAGTATCTGGATTAGTTTCATTGTTGCAAAAGCATTAGTACATGCAACTAAGGAAGTAATTATCATCCATTTATACAGCACTTTTCTCGGATAATTTCCTAGATTTGCCGATTATCTTTCCAATGCTGTTCGCCCGATTTCAATGCAATACTTCGAAAATTGAGGCGAGAAACATTTTTTAGCGGTAGCTGTTGAATTCTTTTTTCACAGTTATCTCAAACGTTCAGTATTTTAAAATGCGCAATGATTTCGTTAACAATAGCAATGCTGATGTGATTGTGATGGAGAACGGAATAATGATTGGGCAGATAATATCAAAAAAGTTGAATAATGGCGTAGGTGTAGATAATTGATCACATAGCTGATCAGTATTTTAGTAGAAGCAATGATCATGTTTGTTTGCAGATGATACACTCAAGAGAAAAAGTGCAATTGTACCATGGCAAAATATCTCAGTTGTGAACGAAAACAATTGAAACTTATGAATACTCATCAAATGATCTGAATTCGAAGATGGTGATAAGATAGTGGCGCTAAGAGATTGATACTTTCAACTCAATAGTCAGTGCAAGTTCATAAGGTCGTTCAGGTGAAATAATTGAATTGCTAGAATGTACCTTGATAAACATTCCGGAGACCGGTGAGCTCGTATCTTTATCAGCAGTCAATCGCTTCAACGTCTTACTCCTTTTCATATAGCTGCTGCTATCATCACTGTTGCGCGAAGATGCGCGTTTTCGCTCTCGTACCACATCGAAGACAACTTCTTTGGACGTTTGCTCCTGAAATCGTTCACTCTATCAGTGAGTCCATTGAAATTCAACAATTTTGAAACAAACTATTCTCATTCCACAGCCTCACGTCCGATCAATTACTAGTACTGTGTGGCTCAGAGCGAACTCTGATCTCTTCCCGATAAAAAGGATACCATATTACTCTTTCATATCATTGAATTGTCATCTTATGAGCTGAATTCTTCATCCACATAGATGCGTAGAGTACAAGAAGTTCACCGAATGATTTTCATTGAAGAAATTCTTAGCAGCAATCATCCAGAAAGGTAATCATTAGTGAGCGAAACGCATAGAGCATGTAACATAACGAGGCATGCTTATAAGAGCAGGTGTGTGCGTTACTTGGATAGGTTGAACGCATAGGTTAAATAACAGAAATAATAATCCATCATAGTGATACGCCATGTCGATCGCAATAAGCTTGATTTATGTCAATTGTGGTGTATTTGCGGATGGATATGCTTTGATATGCATTAACTGAATGCATCGGTGACATTCGTCCATACTTCGATTGTATCAACGGGAGTTTACTTATTTATATACTTTGATGATTGCAGAAATGCAGTTATTCGCAAGTAAAAATTGAAGAGATTTAAGCTGATCGCAGGATACTGAAGCCGGAAAAATGTCCATAAATTTCAGAAACTTTTTGAAAAATACTGACTTCAACATTAAATTGTGATGGGGATATAGTGAAGCTGAACCAGTAGACACTTATACATAAGCAGTAGATGATACTGATTTTCATCCAAATAGCTAATTTGAATAATATATAAACGTAGACAATAACATGGTGATTCAAAAACCTTAAGTGACCACCTGAGCATTTGCGGGCAATTGTGATAGTTACAAGTGTTAAATTCGAAGGTGTTCGTCACCAAACTTTAAAGATACTTACCTTATAAAGATTATTAAGCGCTTCGAATTGAGCAAGTTGTGCGACGAAAGCGTTGAGAAAGTTCGGTTGACAGAGCACTTGCAGCTGCATCAACTGTATTGCTGCAGCATAATCGGCCGTTTTCGCGAAGATATCGCCGGACGAGTGATGTGCTGTCGGTGATATCAACGGCGGAGATTTATCGTCCGAAGGTGACAGGCAAGTGGGTAGTGCTGGCGTTCTTTGGGCACCGAGAAAACGACTTGCGAACAGATCATTTGTTGACAGCATTATGAAAGACTGATTCGATGAGTATGCTTCGTAATCTCACATATGATCTGAAAAGTAAGATAAGAATATCAGAGAGTTTTGGAATAGCCTAGGAAATTCAATACAATCGTACACCAGTAATGCTCAAAAACCTATGATGATGCGAAGTTGGCTGAGATTTAACTGCTTCAGAGAGGAAGATTTGCGAATGAAGGAAGATATGGATGGCTCAAGCGTATTCAGTAAATGACTTGTTTCAGTACAGATTTCTGAACATCAGTTACACTCAAACGTACAAAATTGTATTCACATGGTTTGAACAGAAGGTAAACAAATGTGGATTCATACAGGGTCAGAAAATGGAATCTGGATTCTAGTGGCGAATAAAGCTTAACGAAACTGATCGGTTATTAGAGAACGGAACCTATTCGAATTGATAATTTCATACTTATCTCTACGATTAAGTCAACGGAGCAAGATCACTCGCTCGAGAATGCATCGCGATGATGCATTACGAGACAGTGAACAGTGATGCTACTCGTGCACAACAAACCCAACGAATACCTAATTTAATCGGAATCCTTCTAAATCGTCAACCAGCATTATCCATTCGAACACATCTGCCGTTTTCGACCATAAATATGCACCCTCCCAATTCCATACGATCTTTCAGTGACACTGTAACCGCTTAGCGAGCGCTCCACCCCTTTCGTTAGGCATTGGCCAATCAAAGCGGGGTAATAGATGCTAATAAGCACGACCAGAAATGGTGACAGAGTCGACGACAAGAAGGCGTTGCAAAAGGCAACGATATTGCTAATTCATTCACATTCTTTTTGC